AATAAAATTATAGGGATCAAAATCAGCAATTTGAAGCTATTCAAAACCAAGACCAAAATTTAATCAAATTATAGGAACTAACAATTGTATTGATCCTTTGTTCTTTTAAAACACAACAAAGTCATTGGCCACCAGACCTCCGTAACAGGGGCGAAACCATCATTTGGGGACTGAAAATGGGATAAGCATGGGAAGGGAGAGGATGAAAGTGGCCGTGGAAATGATGAATATGTACAAGCACATGCCCTTAACAAGGCATATGGTGCCTAACACGACGCCAAAGGACGGTGCCACACGAGGCCAAAAGGCAACAACCTTATGTTGCGTGCTTTAGGGCTTATCACTTTACGCCACGTGCAAATCAAAATTTTTTATTACCGAAAAAAATTTTTTTTTTTGGGGGATCTGGATGATCAATGCATTAAAGCTTGACAATGGTATTTAGGAAAATATTAGCATATAATATATATGTTGGGGTTATATAGGGATTCGAGGAATGAATATAATAGATGAAGATTGTTGCAGACGGGGATAAGGTGTTGAGCAAGAAGTAATGGCGTGTGCTTATCCTGCTTCAACCTCGTACGGAAGAAACTTGGGGCTCTTGTTGCGTGATTTCGAATTCCAAGAAGCAAGAAAGGCCCCCAAAAATACCCTACCTCTTCCTTTTCTCTTTTTTTTTTATTTTTTTTTTAAAAATTATGTCCACTTCTTATTATGTCCTGGCCATATGATTTTTTTTATCATTATGTGGAATATAAGAAATCTAGTTGCATTATTTATGAATTATAAAATAACACAATTTATTTTTTATTTTAAATTTTGGTATTTAACATGAAAAGGAGGAATGTCCGTATAATCATCATGGAGGATGGGGGTGGAGAAAAAAAGAAAAGAAAAAGACGAGTTGGGTAGAATGATGAGGAATGAAAGGGAAAGCTATGAAGTGAGGTCAAGACGAGTAGAGGTGTTGATGATGATGATGAAAGTTGCGTTGCCTTTGGTGAGGGTTCTAGTACATTGAACGATACAGGAGCATTCACGTAATTAATACTCTTGTTTCAGGGGGGAAAAACATTTAACAAAAAAATATTTAATTATTAAATATTTAGATTATTGATGTGAAGTTTCGCAGTATATATCTGCGGCGGCATCGTGCCGGGGATGCATAGTATAATTAGAGGGTTAAAGAGACAATAGGAGCACCAAGACAGAATTCACGTGAGATGCGAGCATGGCTCCAGACATACGAGGTCAGGACAAAAGACGAACCTAGAAAACTACGGTGCTTCATCAAGGGTTTGGAGCTGTCTCATTGGGATCACTCCTCAACATAATCTGACACCAAACTTATCATATTCTTAACGAATCTCATAACAGACAAACCTAACAGCTGAATTACGAGAACTCCTCTCTCATCTTCATATTATAATCTATACTGCTCCAGACCTCAAACTATGTTCTTGTACTTGTAAATCTTGTCTGGACAGGATAAAATTATTTATTTATTTAGAAGAACAAATAAACTGCCATTCAACTGTCCATGTTAATTTCTCCACGTAGGTGCGGATAAAGCCCATAGTTTGGACAGACCATCGAAAAGGAAGCCCGCTTTTAACGTGTTGGTTTTAGGCCCGCTTTTAACGTGTTTGGTTTTAGCCCACTACGATAGGGTATTCTCCGCGACGTTTTGTTCTTCCCTTTTCCATCCCTCATATATATTATATCAGACTTTTTAACTTTGAATTTTGTAAACAAAGTTAGGAATCACTAGTTATTAGTTCAGCACTTGACAGGTACTTGAGAAACTTTGAATATCATCATCAGGAAACCTTATTTTAGTTCAGCCTCTGAATCATACTATGGGACGTTGCTCGTCAGGGTTGTGCGCGCGCAATGAAATGTTTCCAATTGGAATGAAGAGTGAGCCTAGAGGCCACTCGCAGATTTAAGAGGTTTGTTTGTCTGACTGACGAATCATCTTCTTCTACACAATTACAATAACAATTTCAGAAGCCCCTTCAGAAGCCAAATTAAAGAACCGCTGTTAGCAATTTTAATTTAATTTTTTGGCTAATAAATTTTTTATCCATCAATTTGGTTTGTCATTTTAATTTTAGTTTCTCAAGTTTCCTTCCGTCTAAGACATTAGTCCCTATAATTTAACAAAACTTAATCATTTTACTTTTTTAGAGACCAAAACTTATAATTTAAATTTAAGAAGCTAAATCAAAATTTATTTAAAGTTGAGGGATCACAAATTTTATTGACGCAAATTCTTTTTAACCAGTGAGCTATGATTTCTTGAATTAAATTCTCTATGTAATTTTCGCCCGAACTCATGGGATCTGTGCCGTTGTGTTTTGTGCTAATAAAACAAAATGTCGGATATATATCTAATAAATGTCTCGTAATAATATACTCATCCGATTCTAAATGTACACTCTTTTCGTAATGTAAATTACACTACCAAAAGGGTGTTATGTTATGGATATAATAAATTACAACTACGAAATAGGTGTATATTTAGGACCGGATAAGTACCTTTTTTATTTTATACATATCAAATATAAAAAGTTAAATATACTATCTCTGGTCTTTAATATAAGACTTCGTTTGATTTTTATTTTAGTCCTAAATATAATATCCCAATCCATTTGTCTCTCAATTTATGTATTTTTTTAGGGAGAATAAACAAAAAAAGACCCTGAAATTTAAAAAAACGCAGATAGAACTCTTGACAACTCTAACTATATCTTTTGACAATAATAATAGTGAATTGTCAATGATCCCAATCTGTGTTTTTCAAATTTCAGAGTCTTTAATTGCTATTTTTTTTAAGATAGTACTTTTAATAATGATAAGTCTAGCCAATACACTTGATTAGCAAGACATTTATGAAAGACAACACCTATTTATTACAATAACTAACTTAACTTCTTTTCTTAATTTTTTCAAATTAGTCAACTAGCTCTTGTAATTAGAACTGGAGGTAGTTCTCCCTAGTCCCTACTGCTAAGGCGCTAGCACGGGCTAATTTTAAAAATTAATAGTAATTCAGTCAAATTTGAAAATGCGGTCAGTAATGATAAAGACGCTGATTTGCTCCAAAATGCCGCTTGTCGCTGAATTCGATTCTACAACGAATTTCATATCAAATCAATTAACCGTACCTGGGACCTTAATCATCGCTCCAAATAAACATATAACGGTGGATTTTGTTTGGGTTACTAGAAACAATGGGCTGTATGTAAAGTAAACGAGTTTGGTCAAATTAACAAAAAAGGCTAGTCTCTATCATGGGACGAAGTAAGTTTGAATTCCCATCCAATTAAAGTTATTCTCAACAAGAAGGCAATTGAGCCTAAAAAAATTGTTCTGTCAAACCAACAAAAATAACGCATAATAAACAAGAATGCATGGTCAAATATTTGACCAATTTTCATTGAAGTATACGATTTTTTCAGTTTATCTTATATATGATGGAAATCAACTTACTGAAACGCCGGATTATTTCATTTTAGAACATGGAAAATTATTTTATTAATGACAATAATCGTTGTTTATAACTATAAAAGTTTGATCTAGTTCCTAACAACTTAGTAAATTAATATTTGAATGTCTGAATGCCTTTCATTAGACACACTATGAAAAAATTTGTTATCTACTGCGGATCTTTAATATAAGAGTTTGTTTAATTTTTATTTTAGTCATAAATATAAAACTCTAATCACTATACTTTTCATATTTATCTATTTTTTTTAATATAATTATTATAATAATAATAGTTGTAATCAATACGTTTCACTGATAATTTCCCGACTTAATGTGGCGCTGCCGCTTTTTTCCGGGAGCCGCACTCAAATTTTCTATCGAAATTGAAAACCATCTGTTTCACCCTGAACCAAATTCCGAGGGAAGAGCAATGGAAGACGGTGAACAACCCACGATTCTGATCACTAACGATGACGGAATTGATGCACCTGGTTTGAGAGCTCTGGTTCAGGTTCTTGTCTCCACTAATCGTTTTAGCGTTCAAGTCTGCGCCCCTGATAGGTACCCCTTATCCTCTCCCTCTTCCTCCGTCTTACTTGTTGACAAACTTGCATGATCAGTCTATGTAGTCGATCATCTTAATTTTCTTACTTGCTTGAGTATCGGGGCTAGTGATTTGTTTTTCAAACTATAATTGATGACAACCGAAAAGTTCGTCTGAGCAAAGAAAACACTCTCATGCTGATTCTGTGTCGGCAGTATGCAACAACCGAATCACCACGTGAACCTTTCCCGGGAGTCTGCGAGTTCGATTACTTTTTTACTTGAAATGGCCAGCCGTTTAGCTATGTTTTTTTGGGTGATTGTTGTTTACATTGTTATTTTATGGGCATCATGTAGCCGCTCTGAAGTTGACATGAATTTTCTGGGAGCAGTGTACTTTTGTGGTTCTATTTGTTTTAACTAAATCAATTTCAGGGAGAGGTCGGCTGTTAGTCACGGTATTACATGGCTTCACCCTATAGAAGCCAAGCCAGTAAACATTGACGGAGCCTCAGCGTACGCAGTTTCTGGTCAGTTTTGCTTTGAGTATTTTTAGGTACCTACATGATATATAATCTTTTATTGCAAAATGTCAATATTCGAATATTTTTGCAGGGACTCCGGCTGATTGTGCCTCTCTGGGAATTTCCAAAGCACTGTTTCCTACAGTAGCTGATCTGGTACCTTGGATGTAAATTACAATTTTGGTTGTGAAAAGTATGCCGCTAATTGGGTGGACTGTTTTCCTATTCTGCTGTCATCTTGGCAATTTCTCTTTATTAGAAAGGTTCCGCAATGAGAACATAGTAGCATAGCTTTTTGACTTGCTTTAAGAAACTTGAAAGGAGTTTATAATACTTCTTGTGACGTTGGATTCTGTTACCCATCCACACAATTCTGTGCTGTGAAAACAATCTGCATGTATATGACTGACTAAAAGTTGTGCCACATGGTGAGCTAGTTGCTAATATAAGTTCAATTTAATGCTCAGGTACTCAGTGGCATAAACATGGGTAGCAACTGCGGTTATCATGTGTATGTAGCTTTTTGTCTCTTCTTAATCTAAAATATTGCAAGACTCTGCAACTATGTCTCTTCCACTGCTAAGAGTATGCAAGTCATGATCAAACTAATTTGAAGATCAGTATATATTACAATTAAATGTCAATACTACTTTTCCATGGAAAATATAGGATTCTCTTACAAAATAAGTTTCAACCTCCACCTATTCTATGGTGATCTTAGAAACATGGACGTGCTAGCAACAGATGCAAATATTGGAGAGACCCTGTGAAAATACGATAGACTTTGTCTTTCTAAGCCATGAAGAGATAAACACAATATATGTTTTCCACAAATGTGATATGAATCCAGTCAAAATTAACTAAGGCATTTCTTTTCATCATAGCTGCTTCAGTGGCTTCATCTGGTGTTTTTTTGTTCATTGCTGCAATAATTAGGTACTTTTTTTGCAGTGTTTACTCAGGGACAGTTGCTGGTGCTAGAGAAGCCTTCTTCAATGATATACCTTCTATCTCCATTTCATATGATTGGTATCTTTGCTGACTTGTGTTTTAATTTAATTATTGAAGTTGGCATGATCTGACCTAATATTGGGGTTGATAACTGAACAATTATCTTAAATCTATTTGACTGATGACTTTATAAACCATGTCAATCCTCTTTTCTATCTCCAACCACTGCTACTGCTTTTTGTTGCCTTTTTTGACCATTTGGAGGACTAACACCCAGGGTTAGGGGAAAGAGTGACATAAATGACTTTTCCCTTGCTGCTCAAGCATGTCTACCTATCATAATTGCGGTACTAGTTGAGATCAAGAATCAAAGATTCCCGCAAAGATGCTTTCTAAATGTAGATTTGCCAGCTAATATTGCTGATCATAAGGTACGGTGTCAGATTTGCAGCATTTTGCCTGGTTAGTTTGTGGATAAATAGAGCACGCATCACCAAGCAACCTTGTGTTATAACTAAATGAACATTTTCTATATGTTTGCTCAGAATATGAACAGACTTATAAAAATCTTGATTCACCTGTTGGTATGAGAATTCTGGCACAGGCACGGTCAATGCTAGTAGCCTCAGTTTATAATTGAATGAACATATTGTATACATTGCCTGTTTTCAATTTGCTTTCATGTTTACTTGTCCTTCTCTGTTCTCAATCCTATAAGATACCAATACATTACGTTCATCTTTTACTTACAAATAATTGCTTTGCCATGCAATTGGTTAATTATTATTCCTGGTTCTTACTTGTGCCTCATAAAAAGGGGTACAGGCTAACAAAGCAGGGAAAAAGTTTTTTCAAGATGGGTTGGAGGCAAGTGACATCAGGGACACAAGGAGAAAGAATGTCATCTACGATGACCATGGATGTAGATACAGCATTACCTACAGAAGCTAACACATCGTCTGTATCACCAGAACATCTCTTATTCAGGAGAGAAGTGGGTCCTTTTCTTTATTCTTCATTTTGTGTTTTTCATGGTCCTCAGATGAAACCCTCCGCTTGATAAATCCTACAAAAGTTGCATGACTTAATTTTATGCTTGAGTGGCCTATGCTTTGATCTATTCAAAACATAGGAGAGTTTGATTGTATAATCTTGTCTACTTATGAAGTAAATATGAAGTTATAGGCACAAAAGGTTCCCACGGGGGTGGGCCTTCTATAGCCTTCCCCCCTACCCCCACTAACTGGTGTAGAACTCTCAATTTTTGTAGGCAAAAGGTCCTTGCCTTGACGATGGTGATACGGATCATAAATTTTTGCAGGAAGGATATGAGTTTTTTCTTCCTTCATTAATTGAATTATTGAATGCAAAAACTCTTGCTAAGCAATTTTATTTTATTTTTAGATCACTGTGACTCCTCTTGCTGCTCTATCTCCAGCGGAGGCAGATTGTCATGCCTATCTAAAGGATTGGCTATCAAGTGTCCATGAACTCCCCTCAGCATCAGCTTTATAATGCTGTAAGACCCACATATTATCAGGATTTATAAAAGAGTTTTGACTGAGATAAATCGCTAGCAATAACTTCATTTACACTCTTAGGGTGTGTTTGGTATGAGGGATTTGGGTGGGAGGGAGGGGAGGGAAAGGGAGGGATTTTAATTATTTTTCCTTGTTTGGCAACACACAAATTTTAGGAGGGGAGGGAAAATTTTTTAAAATTTCCCTTCCCCTCCCCTCCTCAACCTCCCCTCCAAAATTGGGAGGATTTGGAGGGAAAGGGCAATATTTTGTCATATTATGACTATTATACCTATATTTTGTCATGTTGTGATTATTATGTCTATATTTTGTCATGTTGTGACCATTATGCCCACACCTTAAATAAAATAAGAGCAAAATTATCCATATTAAAATATTTTCCCTCCCCTCCCCTTTTTTTTATAAATCCAAACAAGATAATATTAAAATCCTTCCACTCCCCTCCCCTCCCCTTCCCTCCATTAAAATCCCTCCCCTCCCCTTCCTCTCATTGAGCCAAACATACCCTTAGAGTCCTGGTTGATTAAGAGCAAGAGTAATGGTAATGCTTCTTAAGATGAATATAATATTCAGTCTTGATCTCCCCCCCCCCCCCCGCCCCAAAAAAAAAAACTAAAACTAAAAAAAAAAAATCTTTCGTGTAATGTTTTAGATGACAATTACGGTGGAAATCTGAGCACCTATCCTTTTCGCACATGTTCAAAGTTGTAGTTACTGCATAATTATTTGAACTCCCAACATGGCAACCTTAAATAGGAAGTTGCAGTTAATGCATAATTATTTAAACTCCCAAACTCCTCCCTCAACTCTATTTTTAAAATGAAAATTAAAAGAAAGATTGTTGTGTGAGTACGTCAAAATATTTTATTCATTATTTCATTAGCATTATATGATCAGCAGTAATATGAACTTCATTCCAATCTTTTCATCGATTTTGATTTGTGAATGCTTTTACCTGCAGACTACTTCAGTTTAAGGTGATTTCTACCTCAATCTGCTGCTAAAGAAATCACTCAAGTCCGGTGCCCAGCATCAATATTCCTTACAGTTTGGTTGCATCAGTAAGCATGCCATTATTTTCAACATTGTTGGAGCCATGAAAGACATGAAAGACATTTCTCTATAGCGTAATATATGAGTGAATAAGGAAGCCTGTTTTCTGTAAGCTAATAAGCTATCGCTCACTTTAAAACCATTTTGTTGAGAGATTCCCATTGTCTTTCAATCCCTGAATTCCTACTTCTTACTGCATCTGTTGAAAATACAGTAGTGTTTACCTGAAGATTGCGGTCTAATATGGCCTTCCTTCCCAGAGGGCATGTTTTGAAATCAAATCCTCAGATGGATGTTCCCCCAATTTGAGATAACATAGCCGCGGCTTTTGATCGTACACATATCTAAGTGCTTGTGCTTTTAGCTCATGGTGCTAAGCAATTCAGAAAATGGGTATAAACTATAAGGCTTCTCATTACTGGTGACTTAGCCTCGTTGTAATTTATTTTGGTGGAGCCATACGTCATATCGTGAATGCATGCCTTCTCCATGTGTAAAAAGACATTTGCTATTTGGGTTAATGGCTTATAAACAATGTTTCAATTATTATTTACCCAATACGAAGTAAGCATGTGAGAAGAGTTTTGTCTCAACTTATACGAAACATGCTTATAAATGATTTCAAATATAATAGCAAACAGGGTCTTGGTATATGGGATATTTTCACGCGTTTGGAAACTTATGTAATAAACATACAACTTGCAAGTCTTATATTTTGTTTGCCTTAATTAATTATTAATAGCATATGATGATGAATTTTTTTGCATGCGTCAAGTTCATTTTTCATATATAGGCTTTCTGACTACGTGAAGAGTTAAAATACGCATATACACCAAACGCCACGAAGCGATCAGGAGAGATAAATAGCTTTTGCTGGCTGTGTAAACCGTTGTTGCTGGTCTTACATAATTGTTGAGGAAAACAGAAGTTTCTTGAAACTGTGGTTTGGGCTTTGATATCCCAAGTGAGGGGAAAAGTTGTGTAGGTTGCGCTATCTATTCCGTAGTGGATTTTAAGTGTCAGTTTCAAAAGGTGAGAAATTAGAAGTAACAGCCACCTTCTCTACTGGTAAAAAATAGATAGCCTACCAATAGGAAGACCCATCGAGGGAGAGGGGAAAACATCTCTAGTACGTCTACGATATATTGATTGTGTAGATTGATAAATTTCAGAAATTCGAAGCGATTCAGAGGGGGGGGGGAGCATGCATCTCCTAGTACAGAGAGGAAAAAACTGTTCCATATGGGTGCTACGAGAGTTAAGAGGGGCAAAACACTAAATTATGGGAATGGACATGATAAATGATTATATGTAGATTATGGGCATGGACATAATAAATAATTATATGTATAAATTATTTATGTAAATTATGCGTCTCTTCTCATTCTTGTACCATGTGCATGGCCTTCATTTTTTGGATGGCAAAGGTGCATGTGATTCCACTAGTATTGACCAGAGGACATGAACATCTTCACAAGGGCAAGACCGAACATCTTCATACAAAATGTAAATCGCTCTTCTTGAAATGTTAAAGCAGCATCGTGAAACGTATAATTTGGCTGTTGGAATCCCACACAAACAAACACACACACACAGAGTAGAGAAATGGAGTGATCCTGGTGGAAATGAATGTACAGAAATTAAAGATTTACTAAATGTGGAAGAAATACAAGTGACGGAAGGAGATTTTCTGGGTTATGGTTAGCATGCAGAAGAGAAAACTCTCAGAATGTTACTATGGACAGTGTAGAACGTACTTTTGTTTTGAGTTGAATGCAGTCTGAGCCAGAGCTTCTTCAATGAAGAGATTAGAGGTTGCAGCCACCCCATCGTGTGTGGATGGTGCTGGTGAAACAATTAAGAGGGAAGGTAAGAGAGATGACGATGAAGAGAAATTCTGGGCATAGCTTAGAAAGAGGGTGAAGATTTTGTAACGTCACTATTCATATTTTGGGACGTTTTACATTCTCTTGCAGGCAAATGATGAAATTCTCATATATATATTGCAGGTAAAATATCATTTTCAGATCCTTCCTTGCTTGCTTCCTTGTACAAGAAGAATCCCACTTTAGATATAGAATTCTTAAAACGCAAAAAAGAAGTCTCTCTTGTTATTAGTAATATAATTTTACGAAGGTGTGGCTTATGTTTTCACCATCATTTGGCTTGGACATTAATGGTAAAAAGACACATATGTTCAGAATGTTTCTCTGAATTCCTCTGAGCAAATAGGGAATCCTCTTGCATCTGAAGCAAGAACAATGGTTCTGTTGAAAACTCTCAAGCAAAGGTTTGTTTCCTGCTGCCCTGCCTGTTCTAATTCCAGGAGTAACAATTTCTTCAAGTCTCAGATATGACAGGTCATGGCAAAATTTCCCATCACATGGACGACTTATCTGAGAGTTCTCTTCGAGTGCTATTTGATTTGAAGGAAAATAAGAAAGATGAAAGCCGTTGTTATTAATTGTTAATTGTAATATCAGAACATTCAAAATAACAAAAGAACACACACACACACTCTTTCAAGACACATAAGCCATGTTTTGTACAAAGTATTAAAAACAAAAGGTAAAAATTGATGTTATGATTGAGAAAAACTATTAAAAAAATGTTTAGTACGAGGAATTTTTTATTACGTAGAATTAGATAAACTTATATATATAGAACTGAGAAATACCATGTTAAGATGTAGTATTCTTCAATCTCACCTCACTGGGTTTGTTTAATCTCATGTAATAAGTAATTACTCATAATAAATACTTTTTAAATAATTTTTATTCTTATTTCTTATTTTTAATGTTCGTATCCTGGTATGAAATGAATAATCTGACCTATTCGTGTTGTGTTTGACACTGTGACCAGCTTTTTAAAGATTAGCCATTAATATCGTAGTTTTGCACGTGTCCATGTTTAGTTTCTTTAAATAAACCCCATATATAATGTTCAACTTAGTTTCCTGGTTTCCTTTCCACAACAAATTCTTCGTTTTTGGTAATAAAATGATAAGTATTCATAAGTTAATAAATAATTTCATTTTCCATTTCATTTTTACAAGATAAAAAATAACAAAATTAAGAAAATAATAATAATAAATAAATAAATCTGATGTTTAAAATAAGGGAGGAGCAGGGTGAATGAAACGAACGCAGAATGCAGAGTGATGATGATGCTTTGGTGGCTAAAACACAAACCGTACCGACCATATGATGAATGTTTGACCAATTACTGGTGTTTCATTTAATCTACATTCAGTCTTTAATATAAGAGTTAATTAATTAATATGAGTAAATTAAAAAATTAGTTAAATTAGTTATTTATAATAAATATATATGATTTTTTCTAAAATATCCTTACCAATCATGTGTATAATAGCTAGAATTATCATTTGATGAATGAGCAACTATTATAATGACTATCTTAAAAAAAATGAATAAATATGAGAGATAAAATAAAGTGAAATCTTATAATTAGAACCAAATTAAACATCAAATTAGCTTTCATATTAAAAATTGATATAAATTGTGTTCTGGCGGGCAGAAGTGTAATAATGTGTATAGATTTGTATTGTTGTTTAAGGCACTGAAGTGAAATGATGATACAGATACTGTGGGGAAAAGAATGATTAGGTGGAGAGAGTACAGAGGAGAGACACATGGCCATTATTTCTGAAAAGCAATGCTAAATGACAAACACTAATAAAATTGTTGAGGTCAGATCAAAAAAATGAAATTATTGAGGGGCATGAGTACTAATGAGGGATTTTAGTGGAGGGTCCAGACTGAGTACATGGATCTTGGTGCGTAGGTGGGTGGGTCTGACCCATTGGATCAACGAGTCCATGACTTGACCTCTGAATCCCGGTCACACTCGTATTACCTCCAAATTAAATGGAGTCTCCTCGCCTGTACTTAGCTTCTGTTTAGTAAGAAGTATTAAAAATTAGAAATAGAAATTAGAACTGAGATTAAAAAAATCTATTAAAAGAGTGTTTAGTATTATATGGAATTAGCCAAACTTATGTATGTGGGATTGAAAAATATCATGAAGGGAAGTGGTATTCCCCAATCTCACATCTATGGGTTTGTCTAATCCTATGTAATAATTAATTACTCACACTAAATATTATTTTAATAATTTTTTTAATTGCAATCCCAATCCTATCTCTCATTTTTAATGTTTTATACCAAACAGAACCTTAATCTTTTCAGTCTGCCCTTTTGATTCTCCCCAGTCAGCCCCCCTTGATTTTGTTCTGTCATCTCATTTTTTATAATCACAATAGAATAAGTAAAATTTTTATAAAAATTAAAGTATAAATAAATAAAAAAACAGTCAAGGTTTGTGGTTCTTTTAAAAAAAAACATATACCCATCGTAAGTGGTCTAAAATATCTAATTAATTGTATGAGTTCAATTATTCCTCTTTTTTTTCGTTTTCTTGTTAGCAAACAAATTAGATAATTGAGAAAGGATTAACGTTAACCTGCTGGGAATTATGCTTTTAATCTGAAGGCCGTCAAAATTCAATTTGCCAATATATCCTTTTGAAGACATTGAAATACGTGTCACGCGAAGGAAATAAAACAAGTCGTTGCTTCACTGTGTTGATTTATCAGTTATGGAGGAAAGGAAAAAGCAAGGTGGGATATGCTGCTTCCGCCTTTATTGCTTCTGGCTTATACTTTCCCATATGGTTATAAAGTGAAATTATTAAGGGACAACTCCTGAGGGTCCCACTAACTAACTTTAACCACATCCATAATATGCCTTAATTACGCCATATCCATATATTATATTGATTTAATACCAATTGTTTCCTCCTACAAGTTGAGAAATAGGTGAATCTAATCTCATTAGGCTTCCACTGTTAACTTTAGCTTGAAAATTATTGTCTCCTTCGATCATTGCAAACTCTTATCTTTATCGTTATCTCATTTTTTCCAATCCATCTCATCTTGTTTTTATTCAGTTTTCAAAAATCCTTGATCAAAATTCAACAAATTTTATATAATTTATAAAACCCCTCAAGTTTACCTGAAGTCTATGAACCTCCTATCATTGACATTCAATAAATCTACAAACTGTGGTGGTTTATTCATTCTGTCCAGATCAATTTCACGGGACATATATATATGCATAAAACTTTACTATACTGTCTACTAACGCCATTATGCATATTGCATTATTTAACCACCGACATGACAATTATGTGTCAATTCCAGAAAATTAATGGTTTCGGAGAAGAAAACATTATGAATATTCATATATCTCTTTCGACACTGTAGCATGAAAATTTGCCTACATATATGAGACAAAAGTTTTTAATGAATTGGTACCACATCCACATCGAGATTTCGACACGTCTGCTTCACAACATTGCTAGAAACAAATAATTGTATTATTTTTAGGCATTAACAATGAGGATTGAGATGTCATTATTCAAACTCGTCTGAGTAATAATTTTAACTTCCTTTTTCCTCTGAAAATAATTGAAAATGAAAGACTTGAAAGGCGAAATGGACAACATAACATGTGTTGCACAATTACTTGGTTCAGAAAAAAGACACTAATTGTATCAAGACGTAAAAATGACACTTCTTTTTTATTAATTAATTTTTGAATCGACGTAGGTTCCGGTTGCAGAATTGAAGTGGGAAAACCATTGATTAATAAGTTGGCCGTTTGCTATGATTTTTTTTTTTTTGGGTGTGACGAAGAAATAAAGCCAAGCAGAGTTTGGGTAATAAGAGGTTTGCTTTTGTAACGGTTGGGACTTAAGAATCACAGACACTATTATTAAGTGCATAAAGCAAAGTCAAAAATCAGCATGCATATAGAGATCACATCATTAGTTTCTTCGTCACTTCAATAAGTTATTTTATTTTAAAAACAACTACTTGCTTGAGAAAGGTTAACGAACCAACGTCGCATTTAGTCAAATTTCTAGTTGGAAAATAATTATTTTTTAGCTAATCATGAGCTTTGGGTTCAAAATGGTAGGAATTAATTGATTTTATGAGTCATAAGGTTTAGAAAAAGTTGGACAATGACATGAATAACAGCAAGAACTAAGTTACCGTTTGATATTATTCGGTGCTTTACGGCTGTTTCCTTTGCAAAATCAATTAAACTCACTTTTGAGTTTTGAGTTCCACATTACTTTAGTTTCCCCCCTTTTTGGATAATAAGACATCTTCAGTTTCTTAAAATTAGAAACCTCATCTGATCTCATCCAAAGTACCAGCTTTCAATACAGATTCACAAGTTTCCCACAAGGGTACATAAGACTAAACTAAGTATACTCTATTTCTTTTGAAGTATCGACAGATTTCATGTCTAATTTATTTTCTGTTAAGATCAATTTTGGCAGGGTAGGAGATGATTACTGATTAGTGTTTTTCTGGGGTGAAAAGACATTGGAGATATATGATTAGTTAACCAAGGCATTTATGAAGGAGATGTGAATGTGCGGCTGCAAAATAATGCAGCCTAATAATCCCATGGTATTTATGGTTAGTCATTTAATTTGGACAAAACGTGAAGCCTCTCCTTATTTGTGTCCATTTCGGGTCATAACTCAGACACATGGGTCCTCCCCACTATTCTTCTTCTTCTTTTCCTCTTCTTTTTTCCCCCCTCCTTCTTTTTTTTTTTTTTTTTTGTGTGTGTGTGGGCATGCAGGCAAGCTTTCCAGTTTATATGTCTTCTATTATTTTAACAAGAATGCTGTCCATACGTAATCTTCCACAGTGCCAATACTGTCCTATGACAATATATTATTATACATGTGAACGCTTTAAAAAAAAATTTTTTTGGGGGCACACACAGATCTAGAGAGAGGGGGAGAGAGTTGATGAAGGTGGGCAGAAAGTAAAAGCAATGTACACTTTGAAATTTAAAAGGCAATGATTCAATCATGATGTGGTTGTGGAGTGTGTTGATGGCTAAAAAGGTATGCGTTTGGCCATTATGTTAGATATATGAGGCAAAGTAAGAGGGGGAGAGAGACAGAGAGAGAAGAACGGGATGTTTCAAATTTTGAAAATGAGAGAGAAGAAGAAGAAGAAAAAAGAAAGATAGGTAGAATCAAAAGCTTTTTTTTATATATATTTCGTTAGGGTAGGTGAATGAGTTTTGAGAATTTACATGAGAAACAACTTTAGTACAATTGGGCCACGTGAGAGGGTTTTTAATTTCTAGCAACACCCTCGTAGGCTATATCCTTCCTTCTTTCTTCCTCCCCACGGATTCATGCTTGTTTAATCTTCTTACTAAAATCAAACTCGGTTTACATTATTGGTTTAATTTTATCCTAGAACGCAAGTCGTCGTTGAAAGTAACATAAAATATGGAAATAGTACTATTTTTTTTAGAGGGACAAGAGAATCTGACTGGTATTTGAATGAGGACAAGCGAAACAAATCTCACACTAACTTCCAGCTTTTATGAGTATTAATTTTAAATTTAAACGATAAAGCTTACAACTTTAAGCTTTGGGAAGCACGAATTAGCAGCCTAAATATCGGTTTGGCTGGCTTAATATTCATGTGTCTGATCAGTCTCTCAACCCAAAAAACTCACTCTTTTTCTTTATGTTTTTTCCCACTCACTATTCTCTCTCAGTTAACCGACGACCATTTCCTTTTACTTGTTATTCTATTTCCACCTGCTATTTGACTTTCTTTTTCGAAATGTGGTAAACCCGCTACATATCTCTAGACTATTCAAAGAACCCCTAATTAAAGGGGGGAAAAAAACCCTAAAAATATAGACAGGGAATTAAGGACTGCACACGTAAAGAATGTTGGGACAATGATTTTAATTTGTTTAGAGGGGTGATATTGTGGGGGTGGTGGGTCGTCGCCGTAAGGACAACGGACTGGGAATTCTCATGCATGGGACTTAATTGCTTGTGGTTTCATTAATTTGATGTGTCTGTTGTGTGAGTAATATGAATCTATGGGTAATTCTCATACAAATATATGGAGACGACAAGTATCGAGGTTTTGACTTGCGCAACCCACACGAGTTTTTGTGGGTTTGTGCATTCGACCTATCTATGTTGTCTGTGTCTCCCAACAGAGTTCGCAAAAGCATTTAATCATCCATGGGTACTTTAATATTAGGCTCTTGTTGTTCAGCAAAATCATGCATTTAATTTATCTTCCCGCTAGCTTTTTTCTTTCATTTTGATATTACACTCACACATCTACATTGATAATTATGCATGCATGCATACATTTGAATTGCCGTTCACACACACACACACACAGTGCAGTAGTTGTATTATATTCATCAGCCACAAATATATATATATATATATATATATATATATGCATGCATATACTGTCTAACATAGAAATGCCCATCACTGTCAACATCGATGACAAAGTCAGAGCGGGCATTGCAGGCAATAAAATCTCCTCATATATTAATTTTAAAATATAATTAAGTAGGGGGCCGGGCATACATATACATATACATATACATATATATATATATATATATATATAGTAATTCGACGACTTGGGGCTATAGAAATGAAGAATATGTATATTGAGAACGTGAGTAATATTTAAAAGGGAGAAAACAAATTGATGCGGATTTTGCATGGAAAGGAAAGCGAGAATGGGAGAGGAATCTGCCATCAAATCTGATATAAAAGGAATAGCAACTAGTCATGTTGTAAATGAAAAGTTCATTCGAATCCCTCTCCTTCACGCAAGAAACAACACCAGCACTACTGTTGGTTCACAGGAATATATGTATCAGAAACCCAGAAGAGACAGGGAGATGGAGATGAGATGGATATACATGTATAGGAGAGGTAGGTGGAAAAGGGGAAGAGAAGGGAGACGTGTACAATTCAAGTAGATTATAAAATGTAAACAAGACGCTAGAAAACAGAAGGAGAGGATGGTGAGGGGGGAGATAAACAGAAGAAGAGGGAGTATTATTCACAAATGATACGTCTACTTATCCCGCAATATCCGTTCACGTGCCGCTTCTTAGTTTTGGCCTCACACACACACACACTTACTCATTTCCAAAGCCCTCTCCTCTTCTCTGTTCATTCCCTCAAATGGCCATGTACTTCCCCCTTTATTAACTCCCCATGCCACTGCGTCTCCATGCAGCCTTTTCTTTTTTCCCCATTTCACTTTCTTCTTCATCATTTTTCACCTCTCTCGCTGTCTCCTTCAATATTATTCAATCCCCCTGTTTGCCCTCCCCTCCTTCTTATCTTTCTTGGATTTCTCAACTTCATATATCTATGTTTAACAACTAATATAATACAGATCACTCATCCATTGTTACACTCAAATATTGGATTGAAAATCAAATAGAGTTTATATACACATTGTACAAACTTTTATACCCATGATGCCAATGGATTTACAAGTTTGACTTCTAAATAACATAACTCAGATTTGTAAATACAAAAATTTTAATTTAGATTGACCTTTTCACATTTAAATTTATTACGTACGACTAATTATGAGTAATTTTCTTAAAAGAAAATGAGAGATGGTTGGAGTCGAAACTTAAAAATGTTTGGAGAGATGGAGCCGTTTGGTTGGGGGGGCTGACGGTTTCCGTTAAACAAGGCATTGACCAAAAAGCAGGGAGGAGTGGAAGTGTTGACGCTTTCACAAAAGGCTTTAATAATATAAGGGGCCTTGCATGCGTAAGTGGGCTTTCTCGCATAACGGCGTTATGAGCCGTGTTTCCCTATATATACGCCCTTCAAATTCCAAAACTCATCCTCCCTCTCGCTTCGTTTTCCTCAGTTTTCTATTGCTCCATCTTCCTCCTTTCTCTCTTTCTCTCTCTTCCCATCACTCTCCCTTCTACGTTCAACAAATGCCTACCTCCAAATTGAATCCCCCCTATTAATTTGCTCGTGCTTGCGTAAACCAAAAGCTTGGTATATTAGTCTCTTGTTGGAACACTAGCTAATACACAAATCATTGTCTGTCGCATTTCTTTAATCGCTCTGCCTATAGCTGTTTCTCGACATGGGCAAGAAAGACCAAGCAGATCACAAAGACAACACCAAAGTTGAAGCTGTTCTTGGCCTCATCAGAAAACAAACCCCTCTTACTGTTAAACAGGTTTGTAACTGATTCCTTTCACCGTTGTTATTATTGTTCCTTGCTACTGCAAAAATGGTTTTGTTGGTGTGATCCTGATATACAGGTTTCGTTGTTGATGTAGGAGAAGTTCTGCAACTACGCTTGCGTAGAACGGTTTCTGAGAGCGAAGGGGGATAATGTTAAAAAAGCTGCAAAGCAACTCAGGGCTTGTTTGTCTTGGAGAGAGAATATAGGAACGGGTAATATGCCCACACAGAACACAGATACTAGCTTTTATTTTCCTTATTCTTCTTCTGATGCCTTCTCTTTTTCAAAGCTTTTTTTTCCCCTGCTTGCCGTGGAAAATTTTACAACGATTATACTCTCTTTATCTTTTCGTGAATAATGGAGTTTCTCTTTTTGTTTTCTTCCTCCACCAAAGAATCTTGCTTTTTAGCTTTTTTTGAATTACCTAAGTTTTGAAGCAAACAGTTCAAACCCACCCCTCCCGTCAGGGCAATCATGAGAGTCACTCCAAATAAAAAGAGAAAAAGTCTGTTTCCTTCTTTTGAGAATAACTGGGTGATTCTGAATATTGCGAAAACAGAGCATTTGATAGCAGATGAGTTCTCGGCGGAACTTTCCGACGGGTTGGCATATGTGGCAGGTCACGACGATGAATCCAGACCTGTTATGGTAATTTCACCGACCCTCCCTCGGTCTTTATGAAAACTGAGTGATGTTTTGTGGTTTTATTGTGGAATCTGAAGTGTGGTTGATGTTTGAAATCGGGGTAACAGATATTCCGGATGAAGCAAGACTACCAGAAGTTACATTCCCAGAAAATGTAAGAATTCAAAACCCAGACATTTTGCTTCCGGTATATTATTTACATATATAAACGGAATGGTAGGAACCAAAAGTAAATGGGTTGGTAATATAATTTGAAAATGGTACAGGTTTACTCGATTGCTGGTGTTCACACTGGAAGTGGCCGTCTCGACCATGCCAAAAAACGTCGAACAGTTTGTGATGCTTTTTGACGCCAGTAAGTCCATGTCTCGAATTCCTATTATGCCCTTCCCTCGCATTTGAATTGAGCATGATGAGAATAAAGAAATGGGAGAGAGACGACGCATGGGACGCAGACTCTGCCTGTGATAGGCTTTCCTATTGAAAGAGAAGGAAAAAGGGGGGGTATTATCGGGAATTGGAGCGACAATTAATGAAAAATTCTGCAGCAGAATTGGTCCATTTCAAATGAATACAGAATGTGATGTTTCCTTAAATAATAAATTATTCTGCTTTATAGCGGAGGCGTAGTGAAATACCGGTGGTAGCAAAATTGTGGAGGGGGGATTAATTGTGAAGAGGGGTTTTTGTGCAGGCTTTTACAGGTCGGCATCCGCTTTTATGAACTCACTGCTGCCAGCACTGAAAATTGTAGGAGAGTACTACCCAGGTCGGCTCTATAAGGCCTTCGTCATAGACCCTCCTTCTCTCTTCGCTTATCTCTGGAAGGTATTCTCTATTCCTATTCATTTCTCTACTCTCTTCAAGTAACTGGGGCGTGTCTCTGCTTTCCTCTGTTTCTCACTAATGCATTGCTTTCATACGCCTTTATTTAGCCACCCCCACTGACTCCATCCCAGTCCTCTTTCTCTTATCTTATCATCAAAAGTTGTGGTTACTATGATATTGTTTATATATATATATATAGGTGAATAAGTTTGAATTTGGAGATAGGAATGCAGTACCTTTGATTTTCGGGGGTTTGCTATTTAGATAATGCCACCACTCATAGGGAAAGACAGCGAAAATGACTTGTGCCCCCGGTGGTCGTTTCCTTGTTTCGGCCTAGACTTCTAGCGCATGCACATGCATCCCAGCGCATTACCTTTTCTTTTCTTTTTTAACTTTTATTTTTTGCGGTTTCCAATCACATCACCAATCCATTCAATAGGGGGAGAAAACCAGTTAGGGGGTCATTTAAATTTAAATTTATTGAATACTAATAAAAGTAGTTTTGTCTTTCTGTTGATTATTTGAGGTTACAAAGCCATCACACACAACTCAAAACACCATTTTTTTCCCCAAAAAAAAAAAAAGAAAGAAAACTACGAAATTTTTCTCCCAAAAAAAAAGAAAAAGAAAGCTACGAAATTTATTCTGCTTTTATTATTGACACATGGATTGATGGTTTAAGGATAGAAAAACGTCTAAAAGATGGTGTAACATGAGGAATGCAGGGAGTGCGGGCATTTGTGGAGTTATCGACGGTGACAACGATAGTATCGTCCTTAGACTTTGAGGAATCACTGGACTTCAATGACATGGCGGCTTACCCGAGAGCCTGCTCCTCCCTCCGATTCGATCCCTCCGCCATCAAGTCAACGGCTAAGATCGGCTCCTGCTCCTCCTCTCGCTTCTCCTTCACCGTCTCCCACCACTTCGACTCCCTCAAGCCTTGGTACCTGAGCTTAACGGACACGGCGGCATCCAAGTTGGGACCCACCAACCTGGGCCCCGCGCTGATCTCCCCGCTCAACGCCCGGTCCCTCTCCTTCGCGTCGCCGGTTGCCAGAGCACCCCGCGGGGACATCAGCGGCAGGCTGGCCACCAGGAAGAGCCTGTTCCCGTCGACTCCGCTGCCGCAGCGCGTGACGCCGAAGGAGGTGGCGACGCCCAGGAGGACGCCACGGCCCTCGTTCCTGCACTCACCGGCCGTGTTCTTCCGAAAGGAGGGCCACGTCAGCAAGGCGGACAGGTGTCGGGAATCTTTCTCGCCGTTCTTGAAGTTCTACAGGAGGCCGTACGACGAGATGATTTATAGGTCAAAGATGAGGCCCCCACTTGGCGGCCTCATTTCCATCGTCTCTCCGCACATCAGACGACGCCACGTCTCGGTGTCGCAGCGTTTCTAAGCATACGGAAACGCAATCAACGGCGCCACGAGTACATACAACAAGTATTTTGATTAATTTGACTAGCCAATCCATGAGTCTACATAACACTAACAACAATTTAAAAAAAACCAAAAAAAAGAAAAAGAGAATGACGACGACGTGCTGGGCGGGGCGTGAAACGGTGTGCAGTCTGCATTAATTTGGTTCTTTCGCAGCTTCGAGGGGGGATGCCTGGAAATGAGGTAGCGTAATGGAAACGGCGAAGCATCCTTTGAAAATGTTGCGCGCGCGGTGGGAAATAGAAGGAGGAGGAGAAGACGACTAATACCAGGAAGACGTTGAAAGTGAAACGACAGCGTCGAAATTTGTAATACGGTTATTATTATTTATATGTATTTGTTGCTGTTCTTGTAGTAACTTTGACTATATATTATGGAGCGTGAGAAACAAGGGGTTAGAGGCAGAGTCTTTGGGACCAACTTGGTCGGACTTCTTTTGTCAGGTTTATAATAAGGAAAACGAAAGAGAGAGAGAGTTTGAAAACTCGGACACTAGCTACTGTTGTACTGTTACTACTGTTGTATTTTGTCAATAGTTTATGGCAGAGTTGGTAAGAATAAGTGTCGGGTATTTATTGTGTGAGAAGTCAACCAGGGCTGTGTTTCAAAATTTTAATGGAGTGAGAGAGTATGGGGAGTTGAGAAGTGAAGAATTTGATAAAAGAGGAAGATACGGAGTGGTATTGGGGAATGGGATGCTTGTGTCGTGTATCTCATGTGACTGAGGTTAAGGAATCAAGAATGTAAGAGGAATCAATGTTAGTGTAAGCATCATATGAAGTACATAGCTGGAGGGCTTTGAGTTTGAGGAGCAGTGAGGACAAACGCAGACTGAGGTATTTTGGCCGTTTTACGTGAGCAGGTAGTGTTTGGATTGAGTGCGTTTGCTTGAAACTCAAAGTCTTTGCTTCGCTTCTGTTGCTGCTTTTGGAGTGTTTGAGGCTTACAAATGAAAAACGACAGGGAAACCCAGTGTGGCCAGCCCCAGCCGCAGGCTCTTTCTTCAACTTGGGGGGGGGGGGGGGCTTTCCTTGTCACCAGGGTCAATCCTAATAACCCCTCCCTCATCTTCATTCCGACAAACTTGGCTTCATTCATGGCTTCCCAGTCGGAAATATGTTGCCCGTAGGGGACTATGGATTCTTGTTTTTCCCAAATATGGATTCACCCACCACTTAGCTTTCACATTGTGCTGATTTAATTTGTCTTTCAGAGTGTATATAGGACACCGATCTTGATATACACACATTTGGGCTATTTAAAATGACATATAAATAACTTTTCAATCATAATTTACTGAATACAAAAATAAGTAAGTGAGAAAAGTTTTGTCTCCACTTATATAAAACATAGTTATAAATACTTATAAACATGAATTCAAACTGGCTAATTATCAGCTTCAAAGAGACAATCACATATTGTAACACTATATTCAGTATACAAAGCAGGTTGCGGGGTTTTATATATTGGAATCTTAATTAAGTACAAAGCTCTGAAATAATACTGGCTCCATTTCTTCTTAGGTATGAAACAGAATTTTGGAAAGTGTGATGCTCATATACGTACACACATATATATGAGATAATTTACAAATCAACATAAATTTAAGAAACTTATGAGCATTAATTGACGGCGTGAATGGAAAGATCGATTTTTTTTGCTTTTGTTGAGCATATCTCTTGACATAATAAATGACTAATCCGTTTTGAGGTCACAGAAATACTCATGACCAGAGTCTTCAATTTTGTCTTGAGAATTGGATAGTTCCACAGTTTGGGGTTTTCCCCATCCGCCGGTCTTTATTGGGCTCAATATGCAAACAAAACTTTATGGGCCAACAGCCTATCAATCGAATACGTACATTAATAACTCAACGATGGTTGTACCAAAAAAGAATTTAATGAAATACTCCTCTGATTCCATTCATATAACAGAAAAAAATATTTTTTGATCATATTTATAGGATACTAAGAAAAATTTTTTATATAGATTTATAATTTTATTTTTTATTTATTATTATGCTGACTTTGTTTACATGAGGTATAATATATATTAAATAGAGATAAAGTTAAAAAATTGTAGAATTTTAAATGAGAGTTAATAAAGTTTAAGATTTTTTTTTGTCTGTGTGAAACATGTTAAAAACGACTTATAAATAAAAATAGAAGAGTTCACCAAAAAAAAAAACAAGAACAGAGGAGTTACATATATAAGTAGATTTCTCAAAATAGTATTATCTCCGATCCTAATTATAAGATATCGTTTATAGATTATAAACAGGGTCTTATAATCAGACCTGAGGTGGTATATTATTAATAATAGATTTCCAAAAGTCAGATTAAATCTTCAATAATTCGAGTCAAAGCCAGATAAGACTATAATTTGTTTTAATACGCGAGATTTAAACTTGATGCCTTGTTTCTATTTTTCTATTTCAGGAGGAATACACCTGCTATGAAAAAGTTCCACCTATGAGGTATTGAATCTCTTTATTCAGTGCCAAATGGGATAAATTTCAGTAATGTCCTTGTTGAAAGTCCCAAAACTTCTTCCCACCAAATCAGGCTCCAAGTCCTCATTAAACATGGAATATATATCAACCTCCAAGTAGTCTCTCATTCTCGGGGTGCCCCCAATTTTCTCAACATGATCCTTCAAGTTCCTGTTATAGTTCCGGGCATTATCCACACAAGTGTAGGGCTCATTCCCTTTCACCGGCCATCCCGTCTCTGACACCACCATCCTCACCCCCGGCTGTCCCACCACCTTGGCCGTCGCCGCCACAAAAGCATCCACCATCGCATCAAATAAGTTAAAGTACTTCAACGTCCCATCAATTACCATCGGGGTATTCGCCTGAAACAAAGCATGCTCCATATCTATGGGCCGTGGATCATTCACGAGCGCAAAATAAGGGTACACATTTACTTGGAGTGGTGCTCCAATGGAATGCAAGAAGTTGGTGACATCGCTCATGAAGTCTGAAACACTGTCCTCAAACTGACCAACCGACGGAGGGAAGGACTTCCCCAAAAATTTAGGGGATGCAGAGGTTGTGACCTTCACGTCATCGGGTACCTTCAAAGAGATAAGGGCTTGATGGAGGTTTCTCATGGCCGGGGCAACCAAGGAGGCATAGGGGCCAGGGATGGGCTCGTTGCCGAAGGCGATGTAGCGGAATCTGATGGTGCCGCTCCGGGAAATGACAAAGGGGGCGATGTGGTGGTCGACCCAGGCGGTGGCGGCGGACGGGGAGGAAGCGACGGAGGGGATATCGTTGTTGGGAAGGGTGGCGGTGAGGACAAGGTTAGAGCGTCTGAAAGCTAGCAAGACTTGAAGGTCCGCGCCAAGTAAACGGAGAATAGGGATAGATTAGTTCAAGTTTTGCGTGAGGAAATCCGCCACTTGGCATGGCGTTGGCAGATTCTCTGCGTTTCTTCCACATGTGATCCCCACCTGAGCTCCTACATGCACAACATCCACAGCCACAATGTGTGCGCGTGTAACTCTTTTTGACCAGACACAGACGTAGTGATGCCCGAAATAAGAGCAGTCTACCTCTACCCTGCGCGGCTGCGGATGGAGAGTGGCTGATGACAGTGGTTGCAAGTGAAGCAATCCAGATTCCAGAGACGAAGGACATGTTTGCTTAATTTGAAGATCATCTAATTAAACAACTTCGATTAATTATAATTAATCACTATTGTTCTCTTGTTTGTGTGCGTGTGTGAAAAGGTAGTAGAGAATAAAGCTGAGATTATAAGTGGAAGCAGACGTGATGATGATGAGCTGCAGACTTGCAGTGGCAAACAAAGTGTTGGCTTCTGATATTGTCACCGAAATTAGAGCTCCTCCTACGATGCAAAAATTGAGGTTCAAGGGGACTTTCACCTCGGCCACCTTAAATTTCTCAAACATTTTAATTAATTGTCCTAATTAACTACTCCCATATTTAATTTTATTAATTGCTTTAATGTTAAAATGTGTAGGGCGTACAATAAATGCTGCATAATTAAAATATGGTAGTTACTCCAATTCATATCAATTATTACAAATATTTAATTTTATTAATTGCTTTAATGTTAAAATAGGCCCCTTATCAGACGGCGCCACTCGTTTTCATTGGCTCTATGTACCGCCTACCAGGTTATAATTTAGAATCAAGAAAATTAATTAAATTAGTTATTTGTAATAATTAAATGTTATTCTTTTTAGGGTGTGTTTGGGTGACACCCCAAACCATGGTTTGGGGACCCAAACCATGGTTTGGGTTGTCAATCACCCAAACACCCCCTCTAAAAACCAAAACCATGGTTTTGGAAAAAGCAAAAAAATTTTGCTTTTGGAGAAAAAAGGGAGAGTGTGAGAGCCTATATGATATGTATCTTGTTATTTTTTTTATAAACATATTTTTTGATAAACATATTTAATCTTATATTTTATAAATATATATACATATTAATTAATTATTAATTATATTATCTTATGTATTATTAATTATGTTGGTAAAAAATATATTATTAACAATTTTATTCCTTCAAATTAAAATATATCATAAAATCTATTTTTTCTGTAATTATCATATTAACTTATGTCTTTTTTTTAGTAATTTGTATATATAAAAAGTGCTTCTGATAACAACTATCCAAACACTCTCACTTCTCAGAATCACTTTTTTACAAAATCTATTCGTCACAGAATCTATTCTCTCCAAAATCTATTCTCCAGAATCACTTTTCCAAACCACGGTTTGGTTTCATCCAAACACACCCTTAGTTAAAACTACCATTTAATAAAATATTTAACATGTGTAAATATTACAAAAACTATTTTAAAAAAAATAGATAAATATAAAAGATAAAATAGATTTGAATCTTACATTTAAAACCAAATTAAAAGTCAAACAAGTTATTATATTAAAGATTGAAGGTAGTATTAATTAATTTTAAGATATTACCATGATTTAAACATAATACTCAAAAAAGCAACTGGCTACAGGCCTACAGCCTACACATATTAAATATTAAATAATTAATACGAAAACACCATCCAATAATCAAGGGAAAAAATGACAAATATAAGCACAGGGAGAAAAGAAAAATTACGCCTATGTTAAAAACAAGTAAGTTAATTACCTACAGGTTTCAGTCATCTGCAAATTACAAAGTTTAATATGAAAAAATTAAATTTGACTTATAATTAAAACTGAGAAAACTAGCAACGTGCGCGCAGCCAAAATACTATTCCATGTGAAAGCATTGTCTATTTATTGGCCCACGTCTTTCTACAAGTGCAGTGCTATTAGGCTAATCAGTAGGCTAGAGTCCTACAGAAGTGTTGAGCTTCCTGCATGTGAATATTCTGGAAAAATCCTCGTAGATGATACTGGGAGTATACTCCCAATTAGATCCATATATAAAACTCAACGATAAATTCCAATCACCTGTCTAAGATGCTACCGACCGTGATGTTATTTTCTGTACGCATATCCTATAGTTTCTTGAAAAAGAAATAACAACAGCACTACTGACTCCCGTGTCGAGTAGTCGCCATCAAGGTGTTGAACAAATTATCCCAAAAAAATCCTGTTCTTTTGTTTTCTTACGACGACTATAAAAATGTTGTAAATACATGTACAACGATCACACACTTAAATCCTCGAATACCTCCATTTCCATCACACTTACAATTTTGAATCATTCCTATCATTAACTCCGATATCGTTAGAAATAGTTAACTCTGATGTGGGTCGATCTTCTCTTTTCCTGCCAACAACTCCGATGAGTATGGGGGGATCACTTGACGCACGGGGCTAAACAAAGAAAATGGGGAATCTGCGAAATTCACACTCAGTTAAGCTTTTATTATGTCATCACATATGGAATATTTACTTACAGACTTGTGAGATCAGAGACACAGAACCCCATTTTACAAACATCAGACGCTAAAAAGCATGTATCTGAAACACTGAAAAACCAGTTAAAAGGGGAAGAGGGAAAGAAGACATGATGTATCAGTTTATGCTTTTCTTCTGGACGGTAATCAAGTCTTGTGTATTACCACACTTCCTATTCAAGGCCTCAACGCACCAACCATGGCCATCATCAACAGTTGGCATCCTCACTTCCATGACTGGAATTGCCGGCTGCCGAGATCCTGGCATCACAACACCCACTAACACTCTCAGTACATTTGCAGCATCTATGTCCATGCACACATTGATCTCCGGAACTCCTTTCGGTGCTTCGGGAATTCCTACTATTTTGAAGTATCCCAACAAATGATTCTCTTCAGCCTTCTTTTCCTCACCTTCATACACAATGATCAAAGCCTCAGTTTGGTTATCATGACAGGTTGTGAAAACCATGTCCTTCCTCGCTGGCACTGTTGTATTCCTTGGTATCACAGGAACAAAGTTGTTTCCATCAGCTCTGATCCCTATAGCTAGAGGTGTGGCTTGGATAGTTAGCAAGTCTAAGTTCCCAAAGGGATCATTGATACCTGAAGCCACAGCTCCCTCAACTGCTGCACCACGAACAGCAGCTTCCAGAGGATTCACACCTTTGTAAAGTTCCTTACCATTAAACATGCTAACCACAAGATTCTTTACCTTCGGAATATAAGAGCATCCACCAACGACTATCACATCGTTTACATCCTCAGCCTCTACCTTGGCATCTTGCAAACACTGGATGATGAGGCTTTCACACTTGTCAAACACCTTTTTGTTCACTTCCTCAAACTCGCTCTGGCTTATAACTTTGTTTATCTTCAGACCATCTCCCAAGTCTACATCAATCTGCACACTGGTTTGAGAGGATAGCCTATGAATTGCATCCTGAGTTGCAACTCGGAGCAAGGCCATGGATTTGATTTCTTTGATACCACGGGTATCGAACAGAGCTTGAGATTCTGGTAACAGATAATGCATCATATTCTGAAGCAAGTCTTCTCCCCCGATGGTACTTCCTGCCAAGGCCTTTATCTGTGATACTCCTCCAGCCGTAGCAGTCACAGCAACATCACAATAACCAGCACCCATATTGAAAATCAAAGCAATCTTCTCGCTTCCGCTACCCATATTCTCATGAGAACTCTGCTGCTGCTGCTGTCCATATAATAAAGCCACAGCAGTTGGTTCAGGCATCAGCCGGAGAACATGAAGGCCAGCCATAGCACAAGCCCGTTCTATCCGGGTGAGCTGGAATCGACTGAATGAAACTGGAACTGTGAGGACTACATTTCTTATGGGTCGTTTCAGCTGAGCTTCAGCCATCACTCTTAGTTCCACAAGAAAGATAGCGAGGACTTCTTCTGGCGTGGTGGATCTCCACATATTGTTCACTAATGCTGCCATAAAAGGACGTACACCAATATCCAAAGTCTGCACCAGAAACGGGAGATTTTTACTTGAATGGACAACTGGGTCTGTATCAACTCTTCCAATCAAGCGTTTCATGTTGAAGATTGTAGCTCCAGTTAGCAAGTCATGTTCATGAGAAAGTTGACTGCTAACTCCTCCAGAAGGGGCGTCATCTTTAAAAGTCACATATGATCGCATAATCTTCTGGTTTCTTATGTTCTTCAAAAGCTCCACTTCAGATCCATTCCACACAGCTACACTGCATTGTGATGTACCAATGTCGATTCCAATGGCAATTTCAGGAAAAGCTGATGACTTATCCTCCCCGGCGGCTTCACTGTCAGATGCCACAGTGTATGAAGCTTCGGCCATTCTGAAATAGATAGATGTGAGATCATAAAATGGTAATGAAACATTTTTGGAATTCAAGTTTCACCAACAAGTTATTCCATCCATCCGTAATTACCACTCTTAGTCTAAACACGACCATTATACCATTGACGTTAGAAAGAATGTTTTCAATATAACAGGACTACAGAAATGTGCCAGGGCATTTCATTCATTTTGTTGAATAATTCTTAGATCTTAGCCATTCGTCAGTTCTTGCCTTGATAAGGACAATCGAATGGCATGATCCTTTGCATCTACGAACTCATTACCTAAACAATAATTGAAGGCCCAAGTGATATTCTGCGAGAAAAGAACCTTAGAAATGAATCTCATGTAGGTCTTTTCACAAGCACCTCTAAGACGAGTTTGCTCATGTCCAATACAGAGTATGGACACAAAACTCAGCGAGACAAATAACACAAGAAGCATACCCCTTAGGATATATAACGCAAGTAATCAAGAAAACTCAAGTACAGAACAATGCAATGGGCAAACATTATCAAAGAAGATGAACACCATTCAAAATGACGTCTTCATGCAAAACGGAAAAGCAAGAGATACAGGAGCCCTACTCAGCCTAAGCAGAGAATCCTCGGTACTAATAACGATTATAGGCAGACCATGAAAACAACGGAATGAAATAAAATTCGAAACCAATTCTTCATTATCTTTCACTACCTCATTCCCATTGATTGAACATCAGAATAGGAAGCTTATACATTTAGGATCGATCTCAAGGCACGAGTATTACAATAGGATTCCAATACACAAAATGACACAACAGAAAATGCCATCAACGGGAATCGTACCAAGAATCAACCCGTGCTCAAGTGATCAAGCAGAAGACTAAGTTCTAAACCAAAAAGGGACTAGCGCACTACAAGTCATGATTATATGATTCTAATCCTCGAAATAAAAAACCAGACAACTCAAGGAAAAGGAAATAGGAATGAAAGAAGCCGAACCTTGGAGGAGGTAAATGCCTAACAATAGATGGAGGAAAGAGGCGCCCGAGAGGGAAGTCGAAGCAATAGAAGTTTGAAAGGCGAAGAAGAGTCTCAGAAGGCGAGAAACGGCTTGGCAAGGACGAAAGAGCAATGACAGAGGAAGACACTAATAATACAGAGCAGGAGTTCTAGAGCGTGCCAGAGAGAACGAATCATGTTTCCGAGAAGCGTCCAGAGACCATGTGGCGGCCTCATGTAGCGATTTCCCGCTAAAAGAATCTTTTTACCCGACAAAAATGTACTGTTAAGAAAGCGATACTACCTTATCTCAGCCCAGGGTAGGACTAAAACTGGGCCTAAGAAAGATAAGACCAATAATACATGTAAACAGCCAGGCCTTCACAAAAAACTAAGACCGGCTTTTTCTGAGCCCAAAAACTGTGTTTTGTTGCACATACCGAAAAATTGCTATGGAAATGGATGAACATACTGAGAACTGTTTTGAGGTCTCGTAGGTTATGAGCCGACTCCATTGCAGATATGAGGATCTTATCGGTGGGTAATTTGTAAATATCTTTGTAAGCGCTATTTAAATCTGGAGGCATGTTCTGATCCTAGTAAGTTCCCGAGACCCAATTTACCTAAATTTTTCTTGTATATACAAAAAAAAAAGTGTTTTGGGGTCCCACAAGTAGCTACGTCGTTATATATATATATATATATATATGCTAGGTCATAGCGTAGAGGATCCAGATTACCATCTCAGGATGAAGGTATTGCAATGACTCATCCTCACATTAAATAACGTGCGCCTCCCCACTCCCAAACTCCCTCCAATCCTTTTTGTGAAATGCTGTTAATCATCTTTTAGATTAAAAAAGTTACTTCAGAGTAGTTGATTGAGGGAGAGGGAAGATAAAAAGGCTATTAAGTGGGACAAGAATAAAAGAGACAAATACATATTTAAAAGTAAGTTATAAATGTTTCCTTAAACTCTATTATATTGAGGATTAATAAGTAGGTGCTCATAAATAGTACCGGATTAAATAGCCTATAAATATTCTTCATCAGAGCTCTGATTTCAGAGGGGAAAAAATCAACAGAATTCCTTGAAAATAATAATTTGTGGTAACTAAGCATAGCGTTAGATCTGAATATGACCAATGGAAGCCAAGTTATGTCTGCTGGAGAGAGCAAAGTCCAAAAAACGTGTTTAACATTCCTTAAAGACACGTTTATTTCCTTCGGAATGATCCATCTCAAACGTACAAAACAGCTCTTTCAGACTTCGATTATGATCTCCTGTTCCACATCGAATAATTAATTATTGATTTGATTAACTAATGTTTACTTTAAAGAAACCGTAATGATTTCCCTTGCCATTTCTTGCTGTTCATTTTACTCTATCCTTCCCCTCCAAGCTCGCCATCACCTGTCCCCATTTTCTACTAAATTAATAGTTTAATTAATTATAATGAATTGCCTTAATTTAGTGGTGATGAAGTTCTCGATTTTCCTTCATTCTTCTATTTTCATGACTGATTTTCATTCATTTTAACTACGCCCATCTCGTGAACCAACTTAATAGAGGGATCTATTCTGAGCGGGCAGCTTGATGCAATACTAAATTAAATGAAAATGAAAATAACTCCCGTTTTGTTTTACCCAAAAAATATACGTATTGTGTTATTGAGGGAGAAAAAGTAAATATTCATTTCTTAATGACAATATAAACGTATACAAGACTAATAAAAATGAATGTATGTGTATTGCGGGTGAGCGTATGCCAACTTAATATATTTTTCTATTTCTATTTATAACTCACTTTCAGTATGTTTCGTACAGACTAATAAAAACCTTAAATTTGATCAACTCTAATTTAAAATTCAATAATTTTTTTATTTTTATCCCTATTCAATATACAATATACCTCATAAGAACAAAATTAACACAACAATTAATGAAAGGTAAAATTATACATTCCCTCTCTACCTTATAAAAAAATAAGACTAAAATTTTTCTTGCTTTTCTGCTTTATAAATATGACCGGTGGAGTAATCTACAGGAAAAAAGTGGCACTGAAAAAGGATGGGATGAAAAAGTTGCCCAGCCAATTAACGCCTAAAAGGCAAGAAGTGAAGGCTCTTAATTGTTTGAGATTTTCATCAATTATAGGGATCTGAATCCTATTACGCATACCGTGTGTAATTAGGTACATATTGACTGCAATAAATCACTGGACCAGAAAAGAGTTGACTGCAATCTCAATAACATAACCGAAATGCGACATGAAAAAAACGATCAGTCAAAAGAAAATCTCAAAGATCATGTACTAGTCAGTCTACTGTACAAGTCAAGAAATGGATCGGATTAGCTTGCTGTTGTTGCAACCTGCAAGGAAAGAGCATATAAATATTGCTGAAACTGCGCTGTCGCTGCTTAAAAAAAAGGTCTACCGAATACTTCAAATTCGGTCATTAAAGCAAATGGAATCCCTCCTGAATAGATTAAAACGCATTGCGAAATTCAAACGCTTACATGTGATCCAAGACACTATAAATATGTCATACCCCTCCTTTACAACCAAAAACAAAAGGTCTCCCTTTTGTCAAATAGTTCTCTGTAAAAAAACAGCTTCCACGAGCATGGTTGCTCAATATGTGGTTCTACTCTCTCTTGTCGGTTTCTGCCTCTTCATAAATGGATCACGATGTCACCCTTTGGACCCTCTGAGCCCTTCGGAAATGAACCATACGAGGCACATAGTTCTAAAGTCCTACCTTGGTTCTCTTCCAAATCTGACCTTCCCTTTCGTAGATCTTGAGGAACCAGACAAAAAGGATGTCCTAAATTGGCTATCCTCAAACACAAGCGGCAATTCTAAGCCTAACCCTACAATCCCCCGTCAAGCCAAGGTGGTGGTTCGGGTCAAGGAACAGACCCATGAGCTCGTAGTAGACCTTACCAGAGGTTCCATCATATCAGACAAACTCTACAACGGTCATGGCTTCCCTCCTTTCACTTTCAAAGAGCTTTTCCAGGCAAGCAAGCTGCCCTCCCAACATCCCCAGTTCAAAAGCTCTGTTCTCAAAAGAGGCCTAAATTTGTCTGAAGTTTCTTGTGTGCCATTCACAGTTGGTTGGTATGGTGAGAAAATCACGAGAAGAGCCCTCAAGGTTGTGTGCTTCTACAGAGGAGAATCTGCCAATGTTTGGGCTAGGCCCATTGAAGGAATCACTATGCTGGTTGACGCTGATTCAATGAAGATCACAATGTACAGGGATAGATACAGAGTCCCTTTGCCTAAAGCCGAAGGTACAAACCTGGAGTCTCCGAAGAAAAGACCAAGAATTTCTCCTTCCTTTAACATAACAAATAGTGGGTTCGCCATTGAAGGGCATGAAGTGAAATGGGGTGATTGGGTTTTTCACGTTGGATTCAATGCTAGAGCAGGGGTGATTATATCCACAGCCTCGATATTTGATGCCAGAAAGAACGAGCATAGAAGAGTTATGTACAGAGGACATGTGTCAGAGACCTTTGTTCCTTACATGGATCCCACAGAAGAGTGGTACTTCAGGACTTTCATGGACATTGGGGAATTTGGATTTGGTCGTTCCGCTGATAGCTTGCAGCCTGGGATTGATTGCCCAGAAAGTGCAGTGTTCATGGATGGCTTCATGGCCGGAGGTGATGGTGAAGTGCAGCAGGTGCCTAGGGCCATATGCATTTTTGAGAGGTATTCTGGAAATGTGGCTTGGAGGCATATGGAAATCAACAATCCTGGCAGAGTGGTAACGTATTATTTCTTAAAGAACACACAGACATAACGTAGCAGCCGTACACAATTTCACATGTCACGTTGTGTGTATGCAAGTGTGAGATATAATATAGCTTTATTTTTACAGAATGGTTGCTTCCTATTTAAGCGGTTCTGTCGTAACTAAAGTTGTGTCAATTTGCATGTGAAAAGTGCTGATATTGTTTTGTGCAGATAAGAAATGGGGAAGCTGAAGTCAGTTTGGTAGTGAGGATGATTGCTACGGTGGGGAACTATGATTATATCCTTGATTGGGAATTCCTAAGAAGTGGGAGCATCAAAGTTGGGGTATGCTCTGTTTACTTTTCTAGTATTCATGATATGGACACTTTTGTTTTAGAGAAGCTATTTTCATTCATTGATGGCTCTAGAAGGGATGACAGAATCATATCGAGAGTAATATTTCATATTTTCATTCATTCACAGGGACAATCATGGAAAAGTTTTGCGTAGTTGACCTTTTTAAAAAATTGGTTGACCTTTTACATAGATCAATTGGCTATTATCTTGTATTTTTAAATAAGGAGCATTGTGTGCGTATTATGCAATTACAGGTAGATCTGACGGGAGTATTGGAGATGAAGGCGGTGCCATATAAAAATACAAGTCAAATAACGGAAAGAATATACGGAACATTAGTGGCAGAGAACACCATTGCTAATAATCACGACCACTTCCTCACTTACTATCTCGACCTCGACGTCGACGATAACGGCAATTCTTTCGTCAAAGCTAAGATGCAGACGGTGACGACACAAACTGGAAGTGGGCCCCACTCGCCCTCTCCGACTCCGAGGAAGAGCTACTGGACGGTGGTTAGAGAAACGGCCAAGAGAGAAGCCGAGGCCAGGATGAAGCTGGGGTCGGAGCCCGGTGATCTGTTGATTGTGAACCCCAATAAGAAGACAAGGGTGGGGAACCAAGTGGGCTACCGGCTCATTCCCGGACAGCCGGTGAGTGCTCTTCTGTCGGACGACGATTATCCCCAGAGAAGAGCGTCCTATACGAAGTATCAATTGTGGGTGACGGCTTATAACAGGTCAGAGAGATGGGCGGGCGGGTTCTATGCAGATAGAAGCCGAGGAGATGACGGCTTAGCCATATGGAGCCGCAGGTAATATGAACAATCTGGAAGTTGTAGTTATTGCGTGGGTGACATGGATGAGCGTACAAGCATATGACCAGAAGTGGTAAGAAATTACAGAATGAGAATGAGAATTTGATGTTTTGGTATGGTTGATGTGCAGGAACAGAGAGATTGAGAATAAGGACATAGTGGTATGGTACACGCTAGGAATCCATCACAGCCCCTGTGAAGAAGATTTCCCAGCCATGCCCTC